TTTTTGGTATACATTTTCTATTTTAGGCTGAAATAATTCCCAGGTTCCCTATTTATACCTTTTTTATTGGTGCATTATAATTATGTAACAATGGGATTCATTTTTACATATTTGTACATGTACACAATGTAACAGTATAATTTGGTCACTTCCTAGATACCCTTTCTAAATAATTCTTAACTCAGATATTAAGCCACATTTCTAAAAATTATTAGATTTATTCATTCCTTGTTCAACATTGTTTATCTCTTTCTTGCATCAGTGTTTCATTTAGTTATGAATGTTCATGTTATGATTTGATATGAGGTGTCCCCTAAACTCTCGTGTTTTAACAATTTGGTCCCCAATGCAGCAAAGTTCAGAGATGAAGCATTTGGGGAGTGATTGGATCATGAAGGCTCTAATCATGTCAGTGGATTAATCCATTAAAAGCTCAATGGATTACTGGGAGGTGGTATAAACTGTAGGCAGATGGAGCATGGTTGGAGAAAGTAGGCCACTAGGGCTGTGCCCTTATTTTGTCCTTGGCCCCTTTTTCTCCCTCTCTCTGTTCCCTGGCTGCCGTGAGTTGACAGCTTTCTTCTGCCAGGCTAGTCCACAATGATGTTCTGCCACACTTCAGGCCCAAAGCAATGGAGCAGGCCAATTGTAGTCTAAAATCTCTGAAACCATGAGCCCAAATCAATATTTCCTCCTCTAAGTTGTTGGTGTCAGATACTTTGATCACAGCAACATAAAACTAATACAGTGACAAGTGATTTTGTTTGTACATCTAAAAAAATAAAGGTTGGTTAGTTTGTACATAATATATATTGTCAGTGCCTTAGAACTAGTGTTTTATGAAATACAACTAGAAAAACAATGACAAAATATACTTCATTTATGTTGACTAAAAGTGTTGAACTTTCTTAAGCCAGATTTGATTTCCTTATTAAGCTCAAACTTTCTTGTGACTAAAGAATCCCCATAAATTTTGGTTCAAATGGACCACAAAGAATTACTGAAAATGTGTTATTCTA